GTCTTTATTTGTTCGATTTGTCATCTTATATTTTTTGTTGATACTCAAGGTTCCTACAAATTTGAGAAGTTTTACACCCGCTACGTATTGATCTATTATTGTGTCTTAATTTTCCATCAGACATTAGTTAGAGGTGAAACACATAAGTTTTTTCTATTTTTATTTTAAGATCATATTCAAGTGGGAAAAATAAAACTCCATCTCTTCTATTAAAATGTGAAATATGGGTGCATATATACCATACAAGAAAGAAAAGAAACATACAGATATAACATCCAAATGTGAATGAATGTCCATTGTGAATGAGGGATTTTTTTTGGATTATGGTATATGGAGTTTGTTATGAAAAAAGCACATAATCATAAGCTGATAAAACTCATTTGAAGGTCATAAAATATGCAAAACGCCTAAAACTTGAAGGTGTGAAAGTTGTTTGTGAGATGACAAATAATAGTCTTTCTAAAAAAACCTATTCTCATGATATTGAAGAAAATAAATGGTCACAATGCATCTACTATCAATCATATTTATAATGCGCGACACAAATTCAGATAGATTATTAGGGTCTCAAATCTGAAATATAATATCTGATGAAATGAATGGTTGAATTTAAGTATGTGCATGACTATAATTTTTTTTTCTTTATTCACAAATTGTCAAAGATATTTTATGAGCTTACTTAATTAAATTAAATTCTTTAATACATTTTTACTATTTTAGTGATGGATTCCACTTGCTATACTAAAAAATATCTCCTATTATTGCTTGAGTTTGTCGTTGTTATTTGTACTAAGATGTCATACTCAATTGCATCAATTTATATGATTTCTAAGAAGGAAGAATGTGTAATTTGGGCTTTTTAGAGAGGTGTTGTGATTTTTTGAAATCTCGAAAATATTCTCTCAAGGTAATTGCGTGTAATTAGAGAAATTATTTAATGAATATTGTTGATAAAATTTATCCCAAAACTAATGTCATATACTATTTTAGTATTAAAAGTAGGGGTGTGTAAAAAAACCGGTTATTGTTAACCAAATTTGTATCTAAATTGTTTCACTTTAAAAATTCAAACCAAATGCTAAAATATAAATTTGGTTATCATTTTGTTATCCAAATATAAACCGGTTTCCATGTGATTTATTCATTGATTATCCAAATTTTTGTTGAATTAATATGTTTTTGTCTCTTTTTATGTTTTATCATATACACGTTATAAACTAATTTTATATTTTAAACCAAAAGATTCAAAATTTTGTATTTCAAAATGAAAAAAAAAATTATTTACAAATTCTCTAACTACCTAAAATGGTGTACTAATACTTCACAAGACTTTTATCAGTTAATTATATGAACTTTCAGTAATTAATCATATAGATCTTAGTGCATCGAGTTTGATTTGGCATGTGCAAAAAAAATATCAAAATTTGACTTGTTGAATTTGACTATAGTTTTCATTTATAAATCTCGAAGTTTATTAAAACTTTATAAAAAAATAATTATAAATATTATAGATTTCTCCACCAATTGAAAAAATAATTTTATAAATATTACTTTGACTATTCGTGTTTAATTTTCTATATGGATTTTCCATATATGTAATAATCAATTTTTCTGTACTGCCAAATACTCGTGCTTCAACATTTGTATTTCTTAATACAAAGTATAGAATTAAAATGTTTCAGGTGATTTATCAATTATTTGATAGTTTGCAATAAAATTGATTTTTTTAAAAAATTGATTTTAAAATTGTTTTTTTTTATAAAATTAGTTTTAAAACTCATTTCTTTAAAGAAAATAAAAAACTGGGTTTGAGAGAAACCGGTTTAAAATTGATTTTTAAAAAAACTGTTTTTCTTTTAAAATCGGTTTGAAACTGAATCAATCCACTTATAAATCGGTTTTAAAAAAATAAATCAGTTTTATATAAACAGTTTTAAGATCCAAACCAAACCATATATGTAGTTTGGTTTAGTTTGATTTATAATTCATACACACCCCTAATCAAAACCCTGTATGTGCTAATTTCCAATATTTAGAATGTAAAATATTTGGACAAAAGCACCTAACAAACATTACGAGTGATATAAGAAAACAAATTGAAAACAAAAATGGAAAGTTATTTATGTTGTGATTAGATAATGCAAATAGATGTGATTGGAACCGTGTGTATGGCAATCAATAACACACTATAACAAAGGAAATAAATAACACAAATAATTGTTAATTTAGTTTGGTGAAAAGTCACGTACGCGTACGGATTATCATCTCAATTAAAAAAAAAGTCATTTTCGGTAGTCAATAATACACGACGCTCTCATCAGAACTCTTTCAATTTGATATTTTTTTTCTAATATTATATGTGAAGCTCTCCTTTAATCTAAGATCCTTCTCACTTTACCTCAATCACTCTTGCAAATGTTTCTACAATTACAAAAGTATATTAAATGATGAAACATAATTACAACACAAATATTTTATTCTATTAACTTAAAAAGTTAACCTAGGACTAGAGTATTACAACCCAAAATACAATATTTTACTTGTTACACATAACAAATTGTCAAAAAATGTGATGATACAAAATAGAACCTTTTCACACCTACTGCAAAAAATGGTTGGTTTTGTGCATGTGACTCCCCTGCCAATGGCCAATTCACCACTGCACTCTTCTCATATCACCAGCTTTCTCTCCTCTGCTAAAAAATTACACTGAAAGGTCCCCACAAACATCTTCAGTCAGCATCATGCATGCAGGAGACAACTCCATTCAAACCAAAAGTCTCATGGTCCTATTTTTTATTAGGACCAAGGATGTTTCTCTCACATGTCAATATTTTCTTACCTTAATCACTTCAATTATTCTTACTCATCATCATCTCTTTCACATTTGTAGATCATTAACAATCAACTTTACTTCATGCAACACGTTTTCTCATATATTTGACAGATCTAATTTAAATGTCTGATTTTTGAACAAGTCACGACAACAACTATCTCCATGCAAGTGTGAAGGGACAAATGTTTGATCATTTTGTAGGTTCTAGTGGCTGCTACCTGTGAAGTGGGGAGCATTTGCCAACTACGCTAAGGCACATAAAAATTGTTCATTGGTTTTAAGAAACAATAAAAGAGCATGCAATGTACTCATGTACAAACTCTCTCTCTTCCTATCTGTCTCCACCTATCATTATCACTGTTTTTGTTATTTATATCATGTTGTTTATTACCTGCCATGGTTTTAAATCGGGTCCGCAACTATAATTATGGGCGCAATATTAAAGATTTTGAGGTCTTATCATGGTGTTCGGTCCGCCCCTGGCGTCACTTGAAAATTCAGAGGATCGAATGTCTTCCACGTCCGGTCGTATTCATAATTGCATCAGATCTCAGAGGTGAACAGCCTCTAGTAAATGGAACAATGTAGACAAGATTAGTCGGCAAAATGGATTCATAAACTTGGGAAAAGGATTGACTCTAACCCTGAGGGCTAGGCACGGGGGTCCTAGTTTCGAACCCGTCGAGTGTTGGTGGACTGCTTGAGATCTTGCAACCGTAACAGCGAAGACAATTTAAAACCATGATACTTGTCAATGATGCCATGAATCATATCACAAAAAGAAAATAACCTTTTTTTTCAATGGAATTATAAGAAAACATGAATTATCACCATCATCATCATAATTCTCACTTTTTAGTTGTACTAATCATAATTAACCTCAACTCTTTCTAAAGATCAAAATTCTAAAAGTTCCATGACTTATTTTCCTGACAAGGATTGTGTTTTTTGGCTTTTGTTGTTTATCACTTTACCATGTGAAGAGAATCATATTTCTTCTGCTCTATTTGCACTTTGCAGGACAACAATGCTACAATGTGAAAACTCCTGATCTTGTATTACAAAAAGTTTTTCATGTTTATGTTAAGCTGAATCCATTTTGAATCCCTTGTTGCAGAAGGCAATTGAGGATGAAAAGATATTGTGTTTGGAAAATGGAATTCATTTGGTTCAGTTTCAGCTTGCTTATATTCTGGCTGGAATTTCCTTTTTGAAATCAAAGGTTTAGAGATTCCTTGAGAATATTTTGGGATTTGGTATACCATATTTCCTTGATGGGAAAGTTTTGTGGGCTAACAAAGTTCAAAAGAAACCAAGCAATTCCACCTGTCCATTTCAATCAAGACAACCTGTTTAAAGTGTTTTCCAGCTTTTCTTAGCTGGATATATATTTTTTCTCAACTTAGTCCACAATACAAAAACAATTAATCAGAAAGTTCGGTCAATTGTGTCTACGTCTTCAATGATAAATCAACTCGTTTAGTTTCTTAGTATACAATGCTTAGGGTTACAAAGTGCAAGTTATGTTTAAGATGATATATCAAAGTCTATCAAAGATCTGTTGGACCACAGCAATAAGGTCACCTCTATCAGGTCACTTTGGTCACGCTTCAGATGTTCTGTCCTTAACGTGAAATGCATGTTAAAAGTTTCACATTCGATGAGATATAATTTGAAAATGTGTTTTAAAAGTAGTAGACAATCATCAACTTACAACCCGATTTTTAGGCTTGAGTTATTCTCGGCCTAAATTTCAAAACTCAACTCCTTCCCTTTTAATCACTTTTATCTTTATCTGCTATGATTACTTTGTTTTTTAACTTCAGTTTACTACAACTAAAGTTCTACTACTACTGCTACTAGTACTAGTATACTACTACTACTACATATTATCATTGTTGAATGAAACTTATTAGAGAAGCATGCAAAGCGTGAGTTCAATTCTTTCTCAATTGTCACCTTTATATAAAGCAGCTAACTGTCTAAGTCTGTCCCTCTTTACCATTTATGGCTAACAAATTAACTTCCATTCTCAATCCTAGATCTTTCTTTGTGCTCTCTAGAATGAGGTTTCTTAAATCTTTGTGAAACTACTTTATGTAGGTGAAGATCAGGGTCATTTGATAAGAGGTAAAGTTCATGTAGTGAGTGACTTACATTGACAATGCAATTGCTTTTGAGGATAAGGCTGCTTCTACTCATAATGATACAAATGTTAGTATACCTCAACGAATCAACCGGCAAATTATCTTGTAAGCTTTTGTCAACATTTTATCTCCTATCTATGAATACTCCGTTGATCAATTTTACAAAATCGATTCAATTCAGAATCACATTATTCAATCGTTTTGCATGAACACGCGGTAAGAATAGTAAGAAAAGGCTCTTTACTTGAGAAACAGGTGGAGTGAAAGATAAGATAGACAGCAACAATGAAATTCCAACACTTATACTATCCGTAAAAGAATCTAAAGAGAAAAAACAAGGAGGAGGAAGAAGTGTCGCGGCCGTAGTTGGTGGTGCTGGTGCTGCTTTAATCATCATTGTCATTGTGGTGATTATCTATATCTGCTTGAGAAGATATAGAAGATTCAAAAGACAAACATCTGATTCAGCTTCTTCCGTGCCATCTCAAGCCTGTAAGTTAATTTGAGTACATTACGAATTATGATTCTGATTATTCACTTAGTTGCTGTGATAATTTATTTACGATATTCTTGTTTGACAGTTGAGATGGGAAGAATCAACAGCTCGCAGTATGTTAATGCTTTCTCTCCACATTACATGCAGAACACAAGATTGTTAACGATTTCGGAGCTGGAACAAGCAACAGGAAATTTCAGTCAAAGTAACATTATAGGTGAAGGAAGATTTGGTTTTGTATACAAAGGTTTGCTTCAAGATGGATCTTTTGTGGCTATAAAAAGACGCATGTTTGCCTTGACTCGAGATTTCATCCCAGAGGTAAATACGCGATGATGAAACTAGTATTTAAACCCGTGCAACGCACGTGAAGATAATCGTTACAATGTAATGTATGTTTGTATATGTCTTGACAGGTCAAGCATATAGCTCAAATCCATCACATTCATATTGTCAAGCTTATAGGCTATTACGAAGATAGCTATCAACAAATACTCGTGTACGAATATCTCCCTAATGGCAATGTAGGGAATCATCTATATGGTACTCTTTCCTAATTCGATCTTTTTATAAAGTTTGTTTCATCATACATTTCATTTCTTTATGTTGAATCCATGTTATGCAGACAATGAAGGTTTACCTATCGGAAAGTTAGACTTGCAGCGCAGGGTATCCATCGCCTTAGGTGCATCCAAAGGTAAATTAGTCGGAGCCATAGTTTTTGTTATGCTTTGGAGAAACAATACGTAGACTAATAAGTCCTTAGAAAATCAAAACTACGTTTTACTTTTTAAGGATCAATCAGGTCTTCGTATTTTTTCTCAGAAAAACAACCGAGTCGTTACTTTATCCTTTATTCTTTTGGAATTCAAAAGGGCTAATTCGGTTTCTACTTTGAAACAGGACTGGATCATCTTCATGGTTTGGTCCCTCCTATGTTTCACACAAACTTTAGTACAATAAATGTTCTGTTAGATGAAAACTTTACGGCCAAGGTATCTGATTACGGATTCTACAAATTGCAAACAAAAGTTGATCAGGCAGGTTCATCTTCAAATGTTGACTACTTTCATGATCCAGAGTATGCTTCAATTACAACTTATTCTTGAAAGAATTATCAATATTTGTTATGAGTTTTAATCTGTTAATTTGAGTTACATTACATATGATTTTTTCCAAAGGTTGAGGTTATCAGAAACCTATTCGGAGCAAAGTGATGTATACAGTTTCGGAGTATTTTTATTAGAGTTGATTAGTGGCTTTGAAGTCCACAACAGAAACATGTCGCAACCAAATGAAAATATAATATTTCAGGTACATTCATACAATTCATATTTATATTGACGTTGAGTTTGACAGAATCACGATAATACTATGAATCATGATTCTGAGAAACTCAAAGTATACAAACTTTGTTTCTTGGAGGATACTGATATCGTAATTTGTTTTGAAGGCAAAATATAGCAGTGTTATGGACAAGTTTATTGACATAACGTTGCGCGAGGAAGAAAGAGCTGCTGCTAGACGAATGATGAAGTTGGCTTTACTATGTGTGGATGTATTTTTTAGAAGACCATCAATGGCACATATTGTGCAAGAATTGGAACGGATACAAAGAGATATTGCGCCTTTGTATTCTGAAATCAATGAGGAGATTGGTGTGGTGACTCTTGGGAGTGAGCTCTTCAAATAAGCCTCTTGAAAATTTTCATGTCAATGATGTTAGTGTTGCAAGTGATAATAACCATATTTGTTCAAGCTAGAGAAATTAACTAGACTAAAGTGTACAAAAATAAAATATTCATGATTTAAGGAATACATTTAGTGAGAAAAGTTCTCATAACCATGCAATTCAGTGGACAAGTTTCCATTTTGAGAGTAATTGAAAATGAGATAGAGTCCATTTTCTATGCAATCGTCATGGGAATGATATTATGAACTTGAGTGAGAATTGTGATTTTACTAACTTTGATTTTCTCTTAATCTTAGGTTCAGATGAAGGTGTATATGTCATGCTTGCAATTATTGAATGGAAAAAAATCGATAAGTTATGCATACTTAGGGGCCAATTTGTTGGCTTTGAAAAAGATAACTCCAAATATCTAGATTTGTTATAGGGCTCTATGTGATATTCCAACCACCCCACTAATCGGTTATTCTTAAACGAGTCACGAAGGGTATAACAAATATATCTTGTATCTACATTGGGTCAAGAATAGGGTTAGAGATATCAATAACGGCTAATTTCTATAGTCATTAAACCGGCCCAACCAGCAATAAGAGTTGTATGCATTATATGGACATAAAGTAAACGGCTGAGATCATTTAATACAATCATATAAACACGATACCAAGACAAACTCATGAAAATACCCCTTATATCAACAAAAAACCGGGGAAAAAAACATGCTATGGATCTTTTCTTTTTTTTTTAAAGTTATCTAACATTAAATAATTTATATTTGTTCTAGTTTTTTTTATAAAAGGAAAAGGAAAAAAAATACATTCTATATCCGATAAATAACAATACGCAATGGGGTGGGGGTTTACTCTTTTTATATGCGTGTTTATATTAAGGAATACAAGAACAGATAGAATTTGTATTTTATATGTAATTATGATTCACCTGTAATTATACCAAATCAAGTTAACACTCATGTAGTATATATATTTTTGATCGATAATGAGAAAATACATAGAAAACCAATTATCTTACCTGATATCACATTCCCTAAAGATCTTAACCTAAATCTTCTCAAAAGTCGTCGTCACGCAATACCTTTTCCCCATGCACTGCTGCCGCCGCTTACTCTCCCTTCTACGATTGTCATCTCCTTCCCTTCATCCGACTGTGCCGCTAGATCTCCTTCTCTCCCTCTGATCGCGCGACCCATATGCAGCCCCACCATCAGCGCCACTTCTTCATCAGCGTCGGTCGATCCAACCCTATTGGTCCCTTCTGCGACCACTTTTACCCTTCGTCCTCTCTGCCTACAACATGTTTATCTTCTCCAATGATGACAACAGCATGGAGACTCATCCTCCCAAGGTGGAAACCCTCACATCACCTCTATCATTCGATGCAATGTTGGAATTTCATCCCGCTCTCGTTGTTTGCAACATTAGGAATAATATTCCTATTGGATTTGACATGGAAATTGACCGTTGTGACACATGGGAAGAGTTATTTCACGTTCATGCCCGCTCTCACCGAGTCTTGAATCATATTATGCCTTTAGACAACAAGCCTCCACCACTTGTCACCGACCCCAATTATGACCAGTGGGCCACCTTGGATGCAACCGTACTTCAGTGGATCTATTCCACTATTTTTGTTGACTTGATAACCACCATTATGGAACCTAGCTCCACGACTTTGGATTCCTCGAAGAGTTTGGATGACCTCTTCCGGGATAATTGAACACACGTGCTGTCACTCTTGAGTGAGAGTTCTTTGGGATTCACATGGAGATTTTTTCAAATGTCTCTAGTTATTGTCAACGTCGGAAGACACTTTTTGACAATTACAAGATGTCGATGCTTCTGTGGGCAATCACTGTTACGTCCTTCAGCTCATCTTCAGCCTTACTGATGCCTATACGGTAGTTGCCACCTTGATTTAACATAGCAATTTGTTCTCGTTTTTTCATTAGGCTCATTTCATGCTCACATTGTAAGAATTCGATTTAGCAAAAATGATACCCACTGAGTCTCCTACCTCATATCTTACCACATAGCACCGTCCTTCTAACGACTTATCCCAGATCACCAACCTCCTCTCTAGCAACTGTTTTTGTCCTTTCAATCAGAATCGGGGTGGTAATTGTCGTAACCATAAAGGTCGTCATAGTAGCAAGGCCATACCCTAATTTTTACCCCTAGGATCCCACCTCATTTGCATCTTTGTAATGCAATAAGATCACAAATTTGGTTATCTATTAGCCCTTTCATCCTTGGGTATGCCTTTGCAGAGATTATCAAGCACCTCTTTGTGTATCTTTTTACATTTTGTGTACTTATATGCTTTATAATTCACTAACCATTAATCAAAATACAAAAAATATGCCTTGTCCCTTTTGTTTCTTTTGCAAGGTAGGGTTTGGAATCAAGAGTATCAAGTGATTGTCTTCGCAGCTAGGGTTTGAGCTCCCTAAGTCAAAGCATGGTCAATCATTGGTTTTTAAAGGCTATTCATCAAAGCATGACCTCTAATCTCAAAGCATAGGGTCTCAAGCATCACTCAACTTTGTTTGATCAAAAATATTTCAAAGTGTGATAGATTGTTTCTCAAGAAACTTCAAAGGTTCATGTGTTTATTTCCATGCCTTCGTCAACACGTTTCCTCAAGCCATTGCAACAAAACCAACAAGCTTTCTTCCAAAGAAAACCTTCACAGCTAGAAGAGACCATACAAAGCTTCATCAAACCCACTAAAAGTAGTTTGGATCAGGTAAATAAGAATCATGAGACTATGAGTAGAAACTATTATGCATCCATAAAAAATTTGGAGATGCAGATTGGTCAGCTGTCTAGACAAATAGCCGCTTTAGCAAGCTCAAGTGGAGAATTCTCAGATAATACAATAGATAATCCTAAGAATGAGTCTTTCAAGGTTGTGAAAACAAGTTTTAAAGTGATTGCTAACAAGGGTAAGAATGAAATAGTTGAAGAGGTGATAATGGAAAAAGAAGAGTTAAGGACTGAAAGGGAGGAGAGTGAAATTCAAGGTGACCAAGAAGAAAGGGGAGTCGCAATTGACCAATTAATAGACAAAAACTCCCCTTGGAGAAGAAACAAGAAGCAAATCCTCAATGACCCAAATCTAGAGTTACCTGATTACATCAAGGCACCATACCCAATAATAAAGAAGAAACCTATTAATGAAAAGGAGGAGGAATGTTTGCAAAGTTTAAGGAGATGTTGAAAACACTCCAAGTAAGTATCTCATTTCATGAGGTTTTAGAACTAATACCTAAATTTTGCAAATTCATGAAGGGATTACTAAAGGGTACGAAGCAAAAAGCGGCCAAGGAACAAGTCAACATGACTGAAAAAGATGACAATCACGTGCCTAAAATATTGTCACTAAAGCTAAAGGATCCAAGTAAGTTCTCTATGAAATTCTAGTAACAGACAGTCGATGTTATATTGGACGTTATGACATCCACTACTGAACAGACAATTAAGCTAAGCAGTAAAACACTTAAAGAAAGCAGTAAAGAACTCAGGGAATTGTTGACCCAGTTCGGTGCAAATCACACCTACTCTGGTGGCTACCAAGCCAGGGAGGAAATCCACTATAAGTAGTGTTAATTCAGAGTCAAACTACCAGTTTGCACTCTTCACTTAAGACCTACCCAATGTAACTTCAGTCTAACACTAGACCTAAGTTCCTACTCGCTCCCCCTCAATCACAGCAGTGGTATCAACCAATTAAGTTACAGATTAAAATGAAGACACACTTCAAACAATTCTTGATCTTGCTTCACAGCTTCAAATAAGATACACGACACTCGTGCTTAAAAGCTTAGAGTGACACAATTAACATACAGCTCAAACACACTAGTCTAGTGCAATCATACAACAGATAATTGCTTGGCTCACAAGAAATCCTAAGACACAAAACACACGTGAAGAACAAACAGAATTCTTCACTCACAAACAACTCATAACACACTTTGTTAAATATCTAAGTCTTTATCTTGAATCAGGATTGCCACTTCTGCATTTATAGGCAGCGTAAGATCCTTGGGCCTCAGTGCAGCAATTAGGTTTAACCAAGTTAAACCTCTTTTCATAAATCAGGGTTCTGTCAATTAGGTCATAGGAATTTTACGTTATCCTCAGCATTGCCTAGAATTTCGCCAGAGATAACTAAGCGCCCTACAATGTTTCTTGGAATCTAGCCTGAGCTAACTTAATCATTATACTAGAAAAACAAACACGCGCCCTTGATGTCAGCTACCTGATGTCATAACATTTAGTATGACATCCAATACACTTTGTTCTTAGCTAACCAAACTTACCCTGCAGAACACTACACACGAATGTCATGACATCAGTCAAGACATCTACACACAACATTGTTTTACTATAAAATGAAGCCAATCAAGAACATCTACAAACTCCCCTTTTAGAATTTTTTTGGCTAAAACAATCTGTCACCATATCAGAGAGCATAAGCAGTAGATAAGTTCACAACTCACATCTGATCATGCAGGATAGCTACTAGCTAATACTACACTTAACACACATGTTGTACTACCAAATCAGATTCAACTACACTACCAATCACACAGACTATTCTGGATTATGAATGTCTAGACATCTCATATGACATCCTTAAAAACACTTGTTCCACAACACACAAATATCACCTGTTAGTCTAGACTACAGATGTCACAATATTTTGTGGAACATCCTGTGATACTCCCCCTCAATTGATGCACAGCTACACATCATCTACAAGCAACCTGCAGAAACACACATACTTCCACCAATAGCTAGGATACTACTAAGTTCTAACCAGGAACATACACACACATATAACAGCAATAGCCAAACACACACAGGATCATCATCCTGTTCACAACAACATATTAACAACTTCAGCATATCAGCACACCTGTAACACAACTCATAGCAGCATCATAACATCAACACACCTGCAAACCTGCTCAGTGCAAACATGCA